TCTTCTTAATGCAGAGCTTTCAGTTGAAACTCCAACGGCCTCCGCAATTAAAACTAACAAATTGTTGGCGTAGGAGCGATCAACATTTCTCTGTTGTATACCCGACTCTATCTTCTCTAAAATCTCTTCTTCAGCTATGGCTGCTCTAAATTCTGCTGTACGCATGCTGTCGATCAGCTGGACAATCTCTTCCTTTATACCCGAAGAAACATCAAGAGAAGCTAAAGGAATGCAAGTTAATGCACGGCTAATTTCCCTGGTGATATTCTCTATGCGCTTTGCAATAGATCGACAACTCATTAAGAGATAGACCTTGTTTTTCTTACTGCAATCCGAGATTAGCTGTCTCGCATCCACTATCTGTCGGTTAAGAATTTCTAAAACATTTTCCCAGCTTTTGGAATCAGTAATGTTCTTCCTGTTAAACTCCTTAAGAAGAGGAACAATTCGATTCAGATAAGCTGAAAGTTCTGCAAAACTCTTCTTCTCTATAAAGACATTCTTGGTAGAAAGTACTACTTCAATGATGGACTCTATAATTGAAGAGAGGAGATCCGCAAATGGACCGAAAGCAGAAGCACTAATCACATCTGGCATCTTACTTTCACTCAGGAAAAAACACTCAAGGACCAGAGTCGAGGCTATCCCATGTGATCAATATAGAAACTCTACAGTCAATCTAGCAAAGTAATAATTCCACTGGAGGAAAAGCCTTGACTTTGCTTCATCTTGTCTCAAGAAACCTTCATTATGGTTTCCAAGGATGCAAGTCAGACCACCAATTCAAAAGTCAAAAAGCACACAAAATATTCTTGCTACAGCTCTGGATACAAAATTTTAACCATCATTTTGCTTGAGAATACAGAAGTTGAAATTTTGATAAGAATTTTCTCAATTGTAACAAAGGAAACCTTTACAAGAGCATGTGATGCAAAATAGGCAAGATCAAGAAAAGTAATTTATGGGTTATGTTTATCCGTTCATTTGAAGCAATAGGGAGCAGAAACAGTATCAGCAAGACTTGTGTAAGTCAACCAAAATTCAAGCAATGAAATAGCTTACCTGATTAAGTGCTGCAAGTGTTGCCAAGAATTGGCAAATTTGGACAAGCCAACTCAAAGATCAAAAGCTTTGTTGACTGTGCTCGACAATTACCTGAAAAAACTAAACGGAAAAAATCGAGACCCAACCCCAAGATACATGGTATTTTGGGGAGTTACCAAGAAAATGCAGCAGAAAAGAAATTTCCTGGAATTTTCAAGGTGATTAAAACACCATTATTCAGAGAAACATTGGCTTCAGGAAAAGCCACAGGATTGGCCGAACAGAAACTAAACAAAGTAAGTAGATGAGAAATTGCATTGAACATTCCAAGTGGTACAGGACTCGGTATTCACCACACTACAGTATTTAGTACGTATTTAAGCATTGACCGGTTCCCATTATTAAATGTTCTGATTGGGCAAGTTTCTTTCTACGTGGGGCTTCATCCATTTTTTTTTATTTAAAAAATATCGAATTACTAATTTAATTATTAATAATTTCTAAGTATTTACCAGAATTTTGACCTTTGCATGTAACTGGGAAAGGACAGTGGACTCGTGCTGTTGACTTTTTCAAGAATAAAACATCATGCGTGTTGTTAACCAGCACAAGACCGCGGGAAAAAAGCGTGTCCGACATTTGGCTAGATTTTCTCAGGGAAAATCTCCGAATCCAGTTTCTTCTCCTTATCCTTAGAAAATAACCGGTACGAAGTTGCCACCCTATTTACTTCTGAAAATTTCTAGCTATCAAGTGCTTACTGTAACACAAATATTTGTGCCTCAGAAATTAAGACAAGATAAGACAGTAAATTGTGATATTTGATTTCAAGAAATTAGGAGGGTTATAAACTCTAGAGTGACTTAAATTTAAAGAGAGACTCCTCTAATTTTCCTCTTCAAAACTAGATCCAAGTGCCGATTGAGTTAGATTTGAATTTGGTTTAATTCAAGAGCTTAAGAGTTTTTACCTTGAATTTATCTCATGAACAATTTGTTAATCCTCACGAATAGGCAAGTTAGTATCGATCTGATGTAAAAAGAATTTAATTCATAGAGTCGTTAGATCATTTTGGATGTTTGAAACTTTGTATATAAATGCTTGAATGTTTGCAACTTATGGAGAAATACTTAGAAGTATTTATTTTGCAAGATTCTCAGTTGCTACTTGTACTTTCTAATGATCCTTTCAGCTGATGGAGTACCCTACTTGTAATTGTTAAAGAGAGGAGGTGTGACGAGAACATGCTTTTTTTTGATTGGTGAATCTTGGGTCACTTGTACATTTTAAATGTTCTTAATTATTGACTTTTTATTATTTGATTTGTCATATTGTGTCATTTTAACAATGTGGCATAATATCATTAGCTTATTTATTAGATTTGACACGCCATGTCACTTGATCATGATACAAACTCGAGCGTTAGATTAATAAAGTGGGCTGTTAATTGCAGCTCAAGATGGATTAGACTTAACCATTAGGAGTATTATCCAACAATATTTTGGACTAAAATGTAGACTTTTTTAATATAGTCTAAATTCCTTAAGAGTTTCAAACCAATAAGATTTAAATTTATATACTCACTGTTCTATTTTTGCTAGTCGATAAACACGCCGATAACGCAAAATCAAAATAGACTGTCATCCATAATTCTAGGGACAGCTTTATAACAACAATGTATAACTAATAAAAAATAGTATGGTAAAAAAAAAAAAATCTAACTCCTTTCTACCCTACTATTTCTCTAATAGAAAATACTGCAAACTCTAGTCCACTTACGACTATTGACTTCCCTATTAAATTCTCCTTCTATATTGTTCGAAGACTTGAGCACACAGCACAAGTAGTAGTACGGACATAGATGAACTGATCCTTTTTCGTATTGTTCATACTACTAAGAAAAATCTCTTATAAATCATTGGCGTACTTGCTCTCTGCTCTATCAGGAGTTGGTATACTGTCAAACATACCTCGGAATATTGAGTTTTATAATTAAAAGTAAAGACTACGTAGTATATACACAGACCAATTTCTATATTTACCGTCTCCTCCTTTTTTTCTATTTCCCTTTTCTGCAATTTCTTGGTTTCCCATTGAGAGCTACAGTTACACATTATGAAAATAAATATCTGAAAATTTGATTATGAGCCCTGTGAAATTCCAGGTCAACATACGTCAAGTACAAGTTCATCTGGGACTTCAAGCACATATAGCATCCATATTCACAAAGCAGCAGCAGGGTAAATATCTCCGCATTAGCTCAAACAAAAGGGCAGCTCGGTGCCTCCCGTTTTGCGCGGGATCCCGGGAAGAGCCAGACCATAAGGGTCTATTGTACGCAGCCTTACCCTGCAGCGCGGGGTCCCTGGAAGGGCCGGACCACAAGGGTCTATTGATTAAGATTGATAAACTACTAGTATAAGTTTGTAACTTGTAGTCCTTGCTCAATAAAATTGGCACGTCAAAGTCAAATATTTTGAACAACTAATATTACTTTTAATAAATTTATGGGGATAAAAAAGTTAGCCATTAAAGAACAGGGATCAAGAAGAGGTTTTCCTCACTTGCCTCTTCTTCTCAGCATCAAGTAAATGTTTGCCTCATCTCAACAGGCCAACAGTGCCTTCAAATCAATGACAATTATATCCTCTGATTGGCCAAGCTCCATGACCATGTAATGTCTGAAGAGTATGGTATACAACAGTCACTTATACAGGTTTTAGGCAAAGAGCATATGGTTCAGCCACACTTTTGTTTATGGAAAACCTAACTCAACACAACATGACATGTTGATATCCGCTCTCAAACATTACGGTGAATCTTAAATGGATTGAGAGACCAAAATTGGTGTTAATCTGAGATTATAATAGAGGGATAACATAAGTGCAGTTAGTACCGAGATAATCACTTTATTGCATTAAGCCACAAACAATCAAAACTCATAAATGCAGTCCACACAGGACTATCCCGATCTAGATTCTTGAGCGTTCTCAATATTGTATATCAGAAAATAGTGCCCTTGTGACTTTAAAGGGGTCGTTTGGTTCAAAACAAGTTTATCTCGGAATTATATCCTGGAAAATAAACCAGGATAGATAATCCCACCTTCCATATGGGATAGGTAATCCCATGATTTTGATATAAATTGTATCCTGATTTTGTTCTAACACCCACAACCAAACACTGGATAAGTTTAATCCCAAATTTTATACTGGAATAACCCCCCTAATCCCTGTAACCAAACAGCCCATACACTATATGATATCCAACTTTGGGTTCTTGAAGATTCGTGCAAAGGATTCATCAGGACACTAAGGTGTCAGACTATGTTTCTTCAAAAAAAGAGCGGCAACAACTTCACTCCTTCCTCCTATAATAAATTGAGTGAGAGCCCAAAAGAAGAGGCTAGTACCTGCTAGCCAATTAAAATTCACACCAGTGGCCTAAAAAACTAACAGCAGACACTTCAGTTCAATATGGTTGCAGAATAGCCCTCTTAAAAGGAAGAAGAATAGATCGTGCGGTCGAGCTCCCAGCCTCCCACGAAATTGCTTTCAATCTTATAATGGAACAACTACACCAGCTATCAGGTAAGATTTGTTTAGTCAATTCGGTGAGTTATTAGTTAATAATGTGCAACCAAGAAGTACCATTTTGTCATTGTCATACAACTAACTCCTTTATTTCTTCTCATACTCAGGTTTAACAGCCATTGCATCTGAAAACAAAATCAATGTGGTTCTCTGTTTATCAGGATAAAGTAACTCAGCATGAATTTTAATGAACAAATTCCTGACTTTTTCAAAGCACAATCTTCGAATCACTGAAACACAGTAATAAGATGGACCACTAAATATTATCTAAGATTAAGGACTTCCCGAAAATTTTAGGCAATGACTTCCTTTGACATCAATAAGACAAATTCATCTAATGTATAACCATAAAAAACAAACCAAACAGAAGCACGGAGAGTAATCACAGAAAGAGACATGCAGTGAATATTTGCTCATGTAGTGAGTATTTGCGAAAAAAACAAAAGATCCAATCGATCTCAGCAAATATCCTCAAAAAGTGGATATGCTAAATAAGTACAATAACAAAAAAAGACATACAGCTAAACCAAGGCTGCTAGGCAGAAGGCTTCAATCGCTGCCACCAAAAGGCTGTTTATCACCTTTGCAAAAAGGAAAACCTGCAAAATGCATTATAGTTGGAAATTTTGAACTCATTAACATTTGAACTGAAAATATAAAACTGCAAAAAAATAGCAACAAGGACCATAGAAGATGAAGGGAAAATAGAGCTTATTGGTCCATACTTTGGATTCACAAACTTTGGAAGTAGTTATAACATAATACAGTCAACCCTCTCTATAACAACCTCATTTGTTCCGATATTTTTTGGCTTTTATAGTGAAACGTTGTTATACACCTATAACAACATTTGACATTTAAATATTTTTTGGATGCTATAGATAAAAATTATCCAAAAATCAATTTTTTTTTTTTTTAGTTTTACATATAAAAGATAAAAGAAAATTATTCAAATTTAAAATCTCAAAAGATATGCATATTTCACTAGTTGAATATTGAAGAAAGCTAATACATTATTAAGAATTTCATAACTAAACGTATAAAGATTTAAACTCTAACGTAGACATTTTAATGTTACCTAGAAAAATAAATTCTTTCAAGATTGATGGAAGAACTTTGTGATTGTAGCTTGTTTCGTAGATTTCATTCTCTTACTACCGATACAACGCTTGAATTGGCGAAGATTCGTGTCCAAATTTTCAGCAAAAAGGTATCCAATAGCTTTCCCTTGAAGACAATCTAAGAGCTTAACAGTTAAGTTTTCTATCTAAATATTTTTTGGAATTTGTCCAATGGAAAAGATATCATGTGCAAATCTTCAAATCTTATATCTTATGAAGGATAGAAACTTTGTTTAATAGAAAAGATTGCGTGCATATTTTTAGAATTATTATTAGTAATCTTAAAGATTCTATATGGCTGTTATAGAGGGGTAATTTTACATAGAGCGTTCTGCTATAAATACAGTTGTTGCTGTTAAAGGTAAAAAGTCATTATAGAGAGGTAAAATATAACTTAAAATATCGGTTCTGAGGAAAATTTGGCTTTTATAGTGAATGATTGTTATATAGGGATGTTGTTATAAAGAGGTATGACCATATATTATAAGTACTTTAGAAGTTAATGATTTGTCAAGTTTGTGGGAGTTTGTTGCTGAAGGACTAAAAGAAACATTTAAAGTAGTTGAAGGTTAAATGATACTTGGGTATCACAAGGACCAAAATCAACCTATACCAATTACTAAGGGGCAAAACTGCAATTTCACCAAAAAAAATTCTAGAGTTCAAATCTTCATAACACACACGAATTGCATATGACCATCATAGAAGTGAAGAAAAGCCAAGTTTTGCTACAGAAATTAGGAAACTATGTTCTTAGGTATATATAATATGCAAGGAATCCTACACTAGGTACATAAGAACTCGGTGGAGTAATCCTACTCTCATAACAACAAACAACAACATACCCAGTGTAGTCTCACAAGTGGGGTCTGGGGAGGGCAGAGTGTAAGCAGACCTTATCCCTGCTTTTAAAGAAGGCACAAAGGCTGTTTCCGATAGACCCTCGGCTCAGGAAGGAAAAAGAAAAGGGCAATAACAAGCAAACCAATATGACAACCGAATTAAAAATACAAAACTAGCACTAAGTAATGCAATCAGAAAATCGAAACAAAGACAACAACAAGTAGTAACAGAAATCTAGAGATACGAAAATACACAAAAGACACTAAGTGGTGTATCAAAGCTATTGTTACAAACATCGAAAACACTCGGCTACCTGACCCTTCACCTTTATTCTCAACCTCCACACCTTCTTTTTCATGGTCATGTCCTCGTAAGTTGGAGCAACGTCATATCTTGCCTAATCACCTCTCCCCACTACTTACTCGGCCTGTCTCTACCTTTCCCTTGGCCTTCTAATGCCAGCCTCTCATACCTCCTCACCAGAGCATCAGTGCCTCTCCTCTTCACATGCCCGAACTATTTAAGTCTCGCCTCCCGCATCTTGTCCTCCACAGGGGTCACGCCTACCTTGTCCCGGATAACTTCGTTTCTAATTATATCTAACCTGGTATGCCCGCACATGCCTCTCAACATCCTCATTTCAGCCACCTCATCTTCTGGACATGGGAGTTATTGACTGGCCAACACTCCGTCCCATACAACATAGTCGGTCTGACCACCGCTCTATAGAACTTACCTTTTAAGTTTTGGTGGCACATTCTTATCACACATAACACCGGAAGCGAGCTTCCATTTCATCCATCCCGCTCTAATACGGTGTGTCATGACATCCTCGTCAATCTCCTTATTCCCTTGTATAACAAACCCAAGGTACTTGAAACTTTCTCTCCTAGTGATGACTTGTGAATCAAGCCTCGCGTCTTCGTCCACTTCCTGAGTCGAGCCACTGAACTTGCACTCCAAGTATTCTATATTGGTCATGTTCAACTTGAAACCTTTAGAGTCCAGGGTTTGCCTCCAAATTGAAATATATTGGAGTTGGACCAGGATGATGTTACATGTCATATACTCAACATATAAAATGCCGCGAGAAGTAGTCTTTGAATAAGAAAGAAGTAATAGAAGAGAACCAGAAGTTTAGGTAACGGGGAAAGTGCTATCAACCTCTTTGAAGCAGATGCATGGCATCTTAGCCCGTTAGACGATTGCCTGCGCAAAACATTTTTTTCTCAGCAAATTACCAATAAGGCCAGGTAGAGGACACTTTATTTCATTGATCAAACGTAAACAAATGGCCAAAAAGGTAAAGAGTAAACCCCCCTCATGTTTAGGCCACCTATCAGAACAATTTTGAAAAGCAACTTTGAGATGCCGCAAAATAAATAGTTGCTAGTTTGCTTGGAATAGGCATCATATCTCTAAGCAGACAAAGTTTCTCCAATGCTTTGTTTTTTCTCTTCCATTGATATCTCACTTTTTTGCTGTGAAGTGATTGGACAGGTGCAAGAGGAGTTAGTTTCTTATGTAGTAGTGCTAGAAATGACTAACAACATAACGCAATGTCATGGTCATAGTTCTCTTTCTACTTATATGTGAAGAAAGGAAAAGGACATTTCATGATGATGTAATGTGAACATTTATGTGAAGAGTTAGGGGATCGATTCTCCAAGTATGCATCCCTTCCTTTACACAGAATATGGATCAATTCACAATAAGACAATGACATAATTTACAATAATAGTTATCATAACCTAATCCATCTCACAGTAATATAATACTAGAAGTCTAGGGCTGTATAAAAAGTTAAAACATCACTTCTTACTTCTTTGACTCTTTTTATGTCGTCATCAAACAGCATATCCCATGCTTAACATTTTCATTTTCCAGTCTTCTTCCGGAAATGGCTCCAAAGTTGTTGTCAACAATGGCAAGGTTCTCATGAACTTCAAAAATGTTTGCATAGGGGAGCTTGTACCTTCTTGAACCAGGCACCGAGACAATCACCAATACTCTCATTAATGAGACAATAATTCTTTTGTGAACCATGCTTGCGCCCACATTAGAATCAGATGATGGGCATGAAGAGCGTCAGAACAAACCTTTATGTATCATTATCAAGCAATATCTTATCTAAAATGGGACATACATTACGAAGATCAGTAACAAACTTGGCCGCAAGGATTCCCCAAGTTTCAAGATCGACATCACCTGAAGCAGCCAGTGGAAGCACCCTTAAAACTTCTGCCTCGCATTCCGAGTCCAGAAGCCCCTTGATTAAGATGGAATAAGTAGTTTTGTTTGGGAGACAACCTTTTTCAAGCATCTCTTCTAGAACTCTAATTCCTTCCTTTGCATTTCCAGCTTTGCAAAAACCATTGATCAACATGTTGTACGTAAAAGCATTGGGAATGCAACCCTTGTCCACCATGTCATCCCACAACCTCCCAGCTTCATGCAGCTCTCCTCTCTCACACATCCCTGCAATAAGTATGTTATATGTCAAAACACTAGGACTCGAACCCTTCTCAAACTCGTCAAACAATTTCCTTGCTTCCCGAATCTTTCCCTTCTTACAAAGCCAGTGAATAAGTGTGCTCGATATAGCATTATCTGGAGTACAATTCTTTACCAACAATTTCTTCCACAAATCACACGCCTCCTCAACATTTCCCTCTTCACACAAGACATCAATCACCTTACAGCAAAGTGTTGAGCTTGGTATGTACCTCTTATCTAGCATATCATTAAGCAAATTAACTGCTTCACCGGACTTCTTTTCCTTGCAAAATGCCTCGATCATCACTCCATACGTCACCTCATTCGGCCCAACACCATTCTCCTCCATCTCATCCATTATCTTAACTGCATCAATCAACTTCCCTTGCTTAGCAAATCCATGCATCAAGATAGTGTACGTCGTTGCATCAGGCAACCAACTTCTGTCCACAATTTCATCAAACATCCTCTTGGCCCCCACTAAATCACCAATTGATACATAACAACCCAAAATGGTTGTGTAGCTCACCACATTGGGAACTATTCCCATCACAGGCATCTCATCAAGAACTCGAATAGCACTATCAATATCGCCTTTCTTACACAAAGCGTTCAACAATATATTACAAGTAAACACACTGGGCATTATATCCAACTTTTTCTGGCAATTCTTAAAAATAGCGTAAACCAAATCATACTCTTTGTTTTGTACTAAAGCATTCAACAAAGCGTTAAATGACCTAATTGACCTCTGAATTCCAAATTTTTCAATACGCAGAAAGGTCTTAAGGGCCAATTTGGGCTTACTAGCAATCCCATAGTTCCGAATCATAGTAATAAACAAACCTTCCCCACATTGGATGCTGGACTTTTGCAATTCGGTTAAAAGGGTCTCTACTTCATCAAACGCGCGCGCACGGCAGAGTTTGTTGATGATGGAGTGGTAGGTTTCGTAATTATGGGAAAAACCAGGGTGGAAGTTGCCAGCATGGTGGAAAATTTGGAGGGAAAGGTTTGGATCATGCTGGGATTTGATGAGTGTAATGAGTGTTTTAGGGGAGAGGTATCGGGGCCAGGGTTTGATGGGGGGTGTGACAGTGTAGGACCGGAGAAGCTCCGATTTGGATTTAATGGTGGAGAGGTGCTGGTATGACGGGTGCGTCTTAAACGGGTCGGCGGCGGTGGCGATGGTGTCGACGGTGGTTGAGAGGAAGTGCCTGAAGTTGTTTGAGTTGAGAAATGTGGTGTAGACCCACCGCCGGTGGCCGGAAATCTCTGGGGATATTAACATGAGGAAAACTCGGAGAATACGATGTTTCGATGTTGGCTTCTGTGTCAACCCCCAGCTCCGCGACAACTTCTTGCCTTTTACATTTCTTCCCACTAATTTTTACAAAATTACTCTTAACCGCCTCGTTCTTTTTGTTTTGTAACATTATACGTCTATTTCTAAAAAGAATGATAGAAAGTTTTGAAATTGAACTATGTTTTAGCTTAATCATATACTTTCTGAATTGTTAGTTGCCTTTTGTTTTCTTTCCTACCAGCATAATAGTATAATTGTGCTTGAAAAAAGTGAAAGTGGTTGATCCTAATTTTCGTATTATGTAAGATGTGACATTGCCTCACCGGGGCATTCAAATGCTAGATCTCGAAGAAAGTTTCTATGATTAGTTGTCAGTGTGAGTCATGAAGATAGAACTGGAGATAATACATATTATCTAATCATGATTAAGTAGTTAAAGTTTTTATGCAAAATATGTATCATGCATTTATCTTTTTATGTGTAAATGCCGGTTAATATAAGTAAGAGAACACCCAAAGACAGACCCAGAAGAAAATATTATTATTATGATGAGAAAAGGGGTGAGAGAGACTGAGGATAATTTGTCAACCACCAGCATAGCACATGTCCAAGCTTTTTTGGGGCTTGTGCATCAAGGCTGAAAAAAAACGTTTTTTTGGGACCCGCACCACTATAAGTTTGCCAGCCCAATTCTGACTATGACCTGCTAGTTGGTACACAAACATGCTAGTACCCTTGACGAACAAGTGATAGATGGATTTTTGGAAGAATTTGAAGTACTAGGGCTGTATTTTGTCCCGGGCCCGGGCCTTAGTGGGCNGAACCATTAAAAGTTTAACTGTAAATGATGATAGTGCTATTTGTGACCATAACTTAAAAATAACCTTGTAAATATAACTTAAAATGTTCATATCTATTGGTCGAAAAAATTAGGAGACTATCAAGTTAACAGACGATCATTATATCACTTGATGAGAGATCGTCTATACTCATGTCTGAAATTTCAATTGTTTCGTTCATTATCAAGTCCATATACCCTTGTCATTTGCCGTTTTTGCATAGTTATTATGGTCTTATGTGGTTGTCGTATGACACCGATAATTTAAGAAGTTGATGCTAATAAGTTACGTAATTTTGGCTCAAGGTTGGTGATTTATGGGCCAATTGGGAAAAGTCCGTTTTGAGGGTTAGATAGGAGCAGCGTACGTATAGTTGTTGTAGACACCGTATTCCATTATTGCTTAATCAGTATTATCTTTTCGTCTCAAATTAATGTTATTTGAAGGTGTGAAAACGTATTCTACAATTACTTCCCGATTTGATAGCACTCGTCTATTAACATCTTTGCTAGAACTTCCCATGGCCAAAGCCTAATTGCTTGGATTAAATGTTATGACCGTCTAATTGTTTACTCAAAAAACGGTACAGTTGAATTTGTTCGTGATTTCTAGACAAGTGAATTAATTTGATCCAAAAGATAATAAAATAACTGATGAAAAATAAAATACTTAGCCTTAGAATGTAGATGAAACAACAAAGCTAATGAGTCCAGGAACAAGGTTTACGGGCCCAACAATGATAAAGATCAAAAGCGAGAGAATAAAATTGTATTAAAATGCTGTATAGAATGTAGCGCAAGTTAGCTAGAAAATTCGTCCCATTACAATGATAACTGAGCTCCCTATTTATATCTATGTCTAGGGAAGGAAGTTCTAGAAGCATGCCCTTCAATAATGTCAATTATGAGTGGCATTGATGAAGATGTAACGTTGGACATAAATACTAAATTTCTTGTAACGGACCATCATCCTTAATGCTGCAAAATATTCTGTATTAAATGTTACCGGACGCAAAGCATTTAATACTCCATTTATGATTGTTATTTCTTCCGGTGACAAGCGGAACAACTATGTTCGGTGGTTATCCCCATCTTGTATTCCATAGGTCTTTCCTTTAAGCGGCCACGTGTCACATCGTATTTTTTCCTATACAGATAGTCCCCCTGCTTTCCGGTGACACAATCTTGAGTTACCGGAAAGTTGGTAGAAAGCACTTTTTTGGCGGGAATTACTATAACTCCCTTTGAAGTTCTCTCACAATTGATTAGACGCACGTCTCTCCATATTTAATGCCCCGAACACGCGTCATCCCATGATTCAGCGCAGCTTTTGCCGATTATCGAGGTAATCATGGTCATGAATTTAGCCGCCAAAATTTTACTTATACGCACCATCCTTCTCTTAAGTACTTCATAATCTCTCAAACTTTTAATTTGCATATTTATTTTCCAACTTTTCTCTTATCTTCTTCGAACCAAAAATTTTCTTCCTTTTATTCCAATGGTTTCCTCTTCAAAATGTGCTGGTTCTTCAAAGGGCAAGAATAAAACCGAGGATTCCGTTCCTTCAATAGTGGGTTCTATCATCCCAAGAAGGCATAGTACTTCGAAGGATTTTGAAGAGAAATTTTCTATTGCTAACCCTCGCACATGGGCTGTTAGTAGGTACCCTTCTTCTATTTTTCCTTCTAGTATTCCTGTTGTGAAGGAGGACTGCCGCTGCCATGAGTTGGACATCATTGCCCCCGATCTATCGGAGCGAGTGACCTTTCCCATGGAAGGGTTTACATATTTTTTTATGTATCCCTTTATTTTGGGTGCATTTTCTTTCAGCGGAGAGCTTGATTCCGTGATTGCGGAGTTTTGCCTTCGCTATCAGGTGTGTTTGGCATAGGTAAGTCCTTCAGTGTGGAGGACGGTCGCCTGCCTTCGGCGTTTGTGCCTAGAAACTGGAGAGGAGCTAACCTTAGCTCATATGATGAATCTTTATTCCCCCAAAATCTTCCGTGGGGAAATGATAAACCTTTGCAAGCGTGGACACCATGCTTTGCTGTCTAGCATGGACGACGACAATGACTATGGGTGGATGGAATGGTTCGTTGCAGTTGCCACCAGCGACATTACCCCAACAACGGCTTCATCCTTCCCGGTTGCTTGGAATCGCTCTCGTAAGTTCTCTTTAATATACTTTTTCTTACCCCAATATCTTTGTTTGTTACAACGACTCGATAGATCCCACCGGTGATAGAAAGCTTGGACCGGTAGGTTCAGAAGATCTTGGACTTCACAATGCCCGAAACCCGTTTGTGGAAAGAACTGTACATTAAATACGGGTGGAAGGCCAAAAATCATGGTAACTTTAATTTACCTTGTTTCCACTTTTTGTATATGAAGAAATTGGTTGAACCCTTCTAACTAGCTTACGAAATTAGGTCTATCTACGGTCTCAGTTGATGTACCCGATGAGGATGTTTTGGCTGACCCTGTTGATGCGGCGAGGCTGCTTCAGGAGGCACTTACTTGAACGGGCATCTCTGGGCCTGCTTTGGGCGCAAACGTTTCTTTACGGAGTCCCCGGCCAGAGAACGCAACCAAAAAGAAGACGTTCCTATGCGGCCGAGGAAAAGGATAAGAGAGCAAAGGTTGATGCCCCTGAGTCATATTCAGTGGCGATGATGACTGGTCCTTCTTTCGGGCCGGTCATAGACACTGTGATGATCGATGATGATGAAGAAGCTAATAATGAAGAGCTTCTTTACATAGAAGGCAACGATCCTCATCATCTCAACAGGATGCTCAACCTGTTGAGACAGTCATACCAACCGAGGATGATGTCTCGGCACTTTGGGAAGAATTTGATTTGGTAGATAATGCCAACTCCCATTCCCGGGCCCCAATTGTTATGCTTGGTACTGCAAGGCAGAGTACCGGGTCCGTGTCGTCTTTGGTTGGCGAGCATCAAACAACCATCACTACATTTGATGCATCTGCTTCACACTTTTCAACTCCATCAGCTTCATCTCCACCTTCACCATCACCAACAACTGCTACATCATTTCCATCTTCGTCCACTCTTCAAACGGCGATTGCTACATCATCTCCATCGGCTGCACCTAACCATGAAGAAGGTATCCCTCCTCCACAGTCCCCAGTTCATGGGAATTTGGCGCAACATTATGCTGCCCCTTCAAAAGATCCACAAAAGAGGATGAGTGTTATCCTTTCGGTCTCCACTGGGTGCAACTTGCTTTCGAGGCCGGTGGAGCTTGCTAACTATCTGAAGCCTTTGGCTTCAGAAAAAGACTGGGAGAAGATTCAGACACTCTCGGGGGAGTGTTTGTTGAACAATGCTATACATAACGCCGCAGCGGTACGTTTCTTTCTTCCTCTGTTATTTTCCCTACTTTGGAATGAATGTATTTGGAGTATTACCTCTTCTTATTTTGCAGGCCAATTTTCTTGCTTCTGAGGGCCTTCAAAGGCTGATTCGTGAGAATGAAGAACTTACTTCTAAACGGGATCAGCTTTTGGCAGAACGGGACCAGATTGTTCTCCGCCTCTCGGAACTGGAAACCAGAGCCACCAAGGCTGATATTTTGGAAGCTCGTTTGCAGCGAAGCGAGCAAGAAATGGCAACCTTCAGCCAAGAAGTTGGCCCGTTGAGGGTTAGATTTGATGAAGCCAAGGCTAAATGGGCTGAAGTCCAGGACGCCATTCTTGCTGCAACCGAGCGCGAGGCTGCCTCCGCTGAAAGAGTTATTAATTTGGAAGTAGCCTTAAACTCCAAAAGTGAAGAGCTTGATGCTGTGGTGACGAAACATGCCCAGCTAGAAAACCTTTTGTGGAAATAACTGTACATTAAATACGGGTGGAAGGTCAAAAATCATGGTAACTTTAATTTACCTCGTTTCTACTTTTTGTATATGAAGAAATTGGTTGAACCCTTCTGACTTGCTTACGAAATTTGGTCTACCTGCGGGATCAGTTGATGTCACCGAGGAGGATGTTTTGGCTGACCCTGCTAATGCGGCGAGGCTGCTTTAGGAGGCACTTACTCGAGCAGGGCGTCTCCAGGCCTGCTTCGGGCGCAAACGTTTCTTTATGGAGTCCCCGGCCAGAGAACATACAACCAAAAGGAAGACGTTCCTATGCGGTTGGAGAAAAGAATAAGAGGGCAATGGTTGATGTCCCTGAGTCATCTCCGGTGGCGATAATGACTGGTCCTCCTTCCGAGCCAGTCATAGACATTATGATGATCGATGATGATGAAGAAGCTAATGATGAGTGGGCCTCTTTA